AGTGCTTAAAACATTGTAAGTACTCAATTAATCATAGCTGCAGTTATTATCTTAGAAATGTCAGATACAGCTCACAGAATGGGACTATGTGTGCAAGATAAATGTGCAAACACACTTTAAAATTCTCTGTATATTTAATGATTATTGTCAAGAGAAGAGAATCTGTGGCAGACTCAGAGCTGGGCTTCTTTCTACACTCTAGATTCTCCTCCTTTGGAAGGTACCAATGATACAGGTTGACTTTAAGAGGCCTCAGTCCATCTTTCTATCCTTTTGTAAAACTCTGGAATTTCAACCAAATGACATTTACATAACAGTTAACAAATGAGGCATTTTCCAAGCAGAGTGCAGAAAAATATCTTTGATTATAGCAAGAATATGAATACGACTCATCAGTTTTCACTAAAAATTCTCTTCCATGTACAACTGGTACTGTGGCATTACAGAGATCTGTGGTGTGGCTATAGAGATCTATAAAGTAAAAAAATAAAAGTTCCTTCATCTCCTTAATTGATAAGAGGTCAGAATATCTATAGCTATCCAGGGTTTCACAAATCCTCTGTGAATGAGCAGAAAGTCCAGTAGGTGGGAAGATGAAAATGACAAAGAATGGTAGAAGACAGTATCAGAGCCTTAAATAAACCAAAGATACCTAAATAAAGAGGGAAGAGAAATGATTTAGAAGCAGCCAAGGCAAGTGGGAAAAATGGTTGATCCTAACCAACCTAATTCAAAGGAAAGTGGGTCTAGAAAGAACAAGCAGCAAGCATTTGAGGGAGTTGAAGGGGAAACTATTTTCTGTGGAGGGCCAGGTTTCAAGACTGATTTAAAGCATGTATGGGACTGGCTTTAGAGCTCCGGCAATCTGAGGCCAGAATGACTCTGCTTCCAAGTGAATTGTCATGAAAAGCTTCTGGAATAGTAAAAGGACTACAAGCTTCTTCAGAAGCAGTCAGTGGAGCCCAAGTTTGATTGGGCTCCAAGGGAATCCTCTACGAGGTGAGCATGCTGGAAAAAGATCAATTGGTGTCCAGAACTCTTCACCATGTAATTACAAAACACCCTAAGTGTAGGTCATGGCAGATTTAAGGGAAAAGGTGCTGCCTTCTCTGAAGTCAGCCACAGCCTATCCCAGTCTTAAAACTTATATTCACTGGGGTTACTAATCCTCAAAGCCATTTAGATAAAGAGTTTAATATATAGTAGAGGCTAAAACTAAGAAGTTAAGCAAAATGGGCTATAGATTTAATTCACAGCTGATTATACAAACTTTTTCAGATCATTCTTAACTGTTCTGTACTAGTTTCTTATTTTTTTAAAAATGTTCATGATGTTTGAGCCCCTTTTGTTATCACAGGCAAGTAAGACCATATTTATAAGAGCTCTTTGAAAAAAAGTAACAAAAATGCTACCAAACATACTTGCCAAAATAGAAAATCTTGCTAAGAAAATTACAATTGACAATCTAATGCACAGAACAATAGTATATAGCTAACACACCTTTAGATTTACTATTTTTAAGACCTAGTATTAAAAAATAAGTTTAAACTATTTTGGAAAGAAGTAAAACTTCATTCTCTATGCCTAGTCTTGAGAATTATATTCAGTGTCATCATGGCCTAAGAAGTACAAATTAAAACAACAAGATATCACTTTCTGCTTATCTGATTGGCTGAAATTTTTGAAAATTGTTAATAGTGTTGGGAGCACTCAAACACTGTTGGCAGGTGAACACATTGATACAATTCTTTAGGAAGAGCAATTTGACAATATCCAGCCATAAATGTAGGTATCCTTTAATTACAAAATTTCATTTAGAATTTGACTTACCAAAATACTCTTGCATGTATGCAGTATATAAAGATGTTTACTGCAGTTTTACTTGCTCAAAAAAAAAAAGGGTAATAATATAAATCTAAATGTATTATAGATAAATGTCTGGATAAACTGGTACATCCATATGACGGAATAAAAGTTAGCTAATAGAAGGACAGACTTTTTGAGCTTATATGGAGACATATTTACAAAGACTTATGTAGAAAAAAAAAATCAAGTTGTAGGACAGCATGCAGAACAGTGACCCTGTTTTTATTTGTTTAAAAAGACCTTTAAAAATTATAATCAATAATTGTTATATTATTTATACAAGAAACACATTCACCAAACATTCACATTCTAGTTTGTTTTAATCTGAAATCTCAACAGAAAGCCAGATTAATTTTTGGAGCAAAAGGCTACATGTACACTTAATATAAATAAAATTACAAAAATGGTAGTGCTTTCAAAGAGATAAAAGCTATCCAATTTGGTAATGAAGAAGTTAAATTGTCACCTTTTGCAGATGTCATGATATTATACATAGAAAACCTAAAGACTCAACCAAAAAACTATAAGAATAACTGGATTCAGCAAAGTTGCAGGATACAAAATTAATACACAGAAATCTGTTATACTCCTATATACTAAGAATGAACTAGCAGAAAGAGAAATCATGAAAACAATTCCATTTACAATTGCACCAAAAAAATTTAAATACTTAGGAATAAGCCTAACCAAGGAAGTGAAAAATCTGTATTCTGAAAACTGTAAGACACTTATGAAATAAATTAAATAAGATACAAATAAGTGGAAATCTATTCCATGCTCATGGACAGGAAGAATTAATATTGTCAAAATGAATATCCTGCCTAAAGCAATTTACAGATTCAATGCAATCCCTATTAATATTCCAACAGCATTTTTCAATGAACTAGAACAAATAGTTCTAAACTTCATATGGAACCACAAAAGACCCCGAACAGCCAAAGTAATCCTGAGAAAGAAGAACAAAACTGGGGGGATTATGCTCCCTGACTTCAAGCTCTACTACAAAGCTACAGTAATCAAAACAATATAGTACTGGCACAAGAAGACCCACAGATCAATGGAACAGAATAGAGAGCCCAGATATAAACACACTCAAATATGGTTAACTAATATATGATAAAGGAGCCATGAATATACAATGGGGAAAAGACAGCCTCTTCAATAACTGCTGTTGGGAAAACTGGACAGCTACATGCAAGAGAATGAAACTGGATTACTGCCTAACTCCACCCACAAAAGTAAATTCAAAATGGATCAAAGACCTGAGTGTAAGTCATGAAGTCATAAAACTCTTAGAAGAAAATATAAGCAAAAATCTCTTGAATATAAATATGAGCAATTTTTTCTTGGAGACATCTCCTCAGGCAAGGGAAACAAATAAAAAATGAACAAATAGGACTACATCAAACTAAAAAGCTTCTGTACAGCAAAGGACACCATCAGCAGAACAAGGCATCAGAGAATATATTTGTAAAGAATTTATCTAATAAGGGGTTAACATCCAAAGAGCTCACACGCCTCAACACCAAAAATCAAACAACCCAATTAAAAAATGGTGGAGGACCTGAACAGACACTTCTCAAAAGAAGAAATTCAGATGGCCAACAGGCACACGAACAGATGTTCCACATCGCTAATCATCAGGGAAATGCAAATCAAAACCACAATGAGTTATCATCTCATGCCAGTCAGAATGGCCACTATCCAAAACAAATAACAAGTGTTGATAAGGATGTGGAGAAAAGGGAACCCTCCTACACTGTTGTGGTGAATGTCAATTTATGCATCCACTATTGGTGCAGTATGAAGGTTCCTCAAAAACTAAAAATTGAAATACCATTTAACCCAGCAATTCTACTTCTAGGCATTCACCCAAAGAAAACGAAATCTCTAATCCAAAAAGATATATGCATCCCTATGTTTACTGCCACATCATTTACAATAGCCAAGATATGGAAGCAACCCAAGTATTCATCAATAGATAAATGGATAAAGAAGATTGGTTCATACACACAATGGAATATTACTCACCCATAAAAAGTAAAGAAATCCTGCTATTTGCAACAACATGGATGGACCTAGAAGGTATGCTCAGTGAAATAAGCCAGGTGGGGAAAGACAAATACCATATGATTTTACTTATTTGTAGAATATAAGAACAGCAGTAGACTCATAGATACTGAGAAGTAACTGGAAGTTACCATGGGGGAGGGGTTAAAGTGGGTGGAAAGGGAGGGTGAGGGGGATAAAGGAGCACAAAAATTCTCAATCATAATGTAGGTTGGTCACAGGGATAGTAACACAGCATGGAGAATATAGCCAATGGTTCCATAACATCTTTCTATGTTGACAGTAGCAGCTGTACTAGTGGGGGTGAGGATTTAATAATATAGTAACTGTTGAATCACTCACTGTGTTGTATACTTGAAACTAAAATAAGACAATGTATCAATAAAAAAAAGTGGTTGTGCTTTGTATCACATCTTTGGGAAGTACAAATTTAAGGAAAAAGATGCTTACTTTTTAAATGATATTCCTATAGCCCTCTGGTCTTTGAAATTGTGACTAAAACCCCACAAACATTTAAAATATGATACAAAATGATGTCAAAAATAACAATGTGCTATAATTTAATGTACTGCAAGTAAGGATCTATCTTCTAGATTACTTTTTTTTAATCTAAAGAAAGAACTAAGATAAGCAGATTTAAAGTATCAGTCCTCCTTGCTTAAGAATCTTATACCAGCAAGAGTCACCAAGCAGCAGCATCACACCAGGTTTTCTACAGACCTCTGTATACAACTGCTAAGAGTGTATACATTTTCATCTAACTATGCATCAACATGTATTTACATTTTACTTGTTATTTATTAAATACCTCTCTAATTTCAATCTTTATTCAGCAAGCACATTAAGCAAAAGGGCTAACATGGGTTTGCAATATTGACGATGCTGCCTCCTGATGAACCATTCAGTAGGATTCCTACTACGGCACTGCTTTACGTGATCAGTGGCCAAAGGGACATGACTATCAGTATATACACAGTCAACATTCTTTTAGGTAGGCTGACTGACAGTACAAATGGGCACATTGCCTTCGAGCTTGACAAGTTAGCTCTACGTGGAATACTCACATCAGCATAGTGGCCCATCATATCACATCGGTCACATCGTTTTCTCCAGGAAGACCTTTCAAGACATCTGTGAGTAGAAGACATAGGCAAAGAACAGTCTAAGCAAAAGCGGGCTGGACAGGCATACTGGAGGTGTCCTCTCTCGGAGCAAAGGCAGCAGGCGCGGACTTTCTATGTGGTAGACAAACAGAAAATCTCTTCAGCAAAATACTTTAGTCTCAAATAAAAGATGAATTCTTCTTTTTCTGTATAATTCCACACAGTTATTTCCAATTTGAGACCCCAATGAAGGTCAAATCTTGAGCATAATTGTAAAATCAAACAACATGTCTGAAACCAGAGCTTTAATATGAGCTATCTGTATCTTGTGGTTCCCTAAAAGGCACAGTCTTCATGTACTATCAGCTAGCATCTACCTCTTATGCCTTGTCTTGTAGGAACACTGACAAAGTAGAATGTGTCCGAGAAGGGCAGGATGATGAGGATCTGGAAGCTAAGTCATGGGGGGAACAGAAACTGAAAGAGGCTGCTTTGCCAGGAGAAGCAAAGATGAAGATGAAACATGCTGTCCCAAATATCTGAAAGACTATCATTTGGAAGAGGTAGTAGGTTATGGAAGGAATATTTGTTAAGGGCTTACTATGTGTCAAGAAATGTCTAAGACTTTAACTCTGTGTGGTTTCAAAGGCTGATGTATCTGTTTAACACAATATACATCAATAAACATTTATAAATGTCAAAAAAAACCTACTCATTTTCCAACAATGAAAACTATCCCACAATGAAAAAACTGTCTTATAAAGTAGAAGGTTTAGAAGTGAAAGGGTGTCAGGAATCATCTGATTCAATCTTCTCATCTTATAGGCAAGAAAACAGAGGCACAGAGGGTGAAACTATTTGCCTAAGGTCACACAACTCCTAGTGGGAAGCTGAAATTGATTCCAAGTTTTTCTGACTCTAACTTTATTGTTCTTTATCTACTACTATCTAGGCTGTGACCTACACAAAAATTTAACATACACATTACATAAAATTTGAATTCTAAAGTTAGAGGGTTCCAACCCTAAGATTTTGATTTTAGCAATATGGAAAGAAACATATTTCACATACTTGTGGAAAGGGGCAGTTTTTGGATAAATGACCACATTTGTCACAGTTTCTACAGGTAACATTCTTGTTGGCTGAATAGTATCGGTGGGTCCATCTTCCAGATGATCTATTATTACCTATCTGGGCCTAAGTGGAGAAAAAATAATTAAGAATTAACACAATCACAATATAGGTTGGTCACAGGGATGGTAGTACAGCATGGAGAATACAGTTAATGATTCTGTAACATCTTACTACATTGATGGACAGTGACTCCACTGGAGGGGGTGAGGACTAGACAATATGGGTGAATGTTGAACCACTGTGTTGTGTATTTGAAACCAAAGTAAGACTGTATATCAATGATACTTTAATTTAAAAAAATCAAGAATTAGAAAAAAAAAAGAAATTTCACTCTGCTCAAGAGAACAGCCATAGTCTGTTCAATTTAGAACCCAACAAGTGACGTGTGTTCTTAAAAAGAGTTAGAAAAACTTAAAAAGGGGGTATCATAAAGAAAATTCTACTTTTTGTCTGCCCCTCCCTGCCCCATTCTTTTACGTTTCTCAGTATGGTTCCATTTCTTTTGACTCTTTCTCTAGTTACTGTTCAGGTCTAGTATGGGCACTGATATGCATCACTTAAACATTCTCATGGCATTCAGAGTCAATGATATTGCTGACTTCTTTATTTGAATATATACCCTATTTTTCTGAATGAGAAACTTGCTTAAATTTTTAGAGGTTTATTTTATTATTTTATCTTTTATAAAGTTGTAAAACCACATAGCTACCAATACATTGCTTCTTTTGAACAGCCCGGGTTATTGCCTACAAATCGGATTATGATTTCTAAGACAGAATGAGATAATTTCCTTCCACTAGAGTCCTTTTAAGATGCATTCTGTCTACAGTGACCCAAATCTAGCTGTTCCATAATCTAGCCAAAATCTAGTATCTTGCAAGGGAACATTAGCAAAGCATAGCTACAGAATATCTAAGGAGGAATATGTAAATGCCAACCATACTTTTACCTTGTCGGTAGAATTCCATCTTTGAAAAAGCTTTTCATCTTTTATTTGTTATTCTGCTGAATTGACCAAATAGGCCCCAAGTAGGCACAATTTAATTATCTTTAAAATTTTCTTTTACTAAGTTGTAAAATTATTCTCTTTTTCTAACCATCTGCCACAACTTCGGCTAATAATTGACAAAGACAAACACCTGCCACATTCTAAATATAGACTAACCATTTCCTTACCCTGAAGAAGCAGTTATTTCCGGTGCTGATCTTTATAGTGGTACCAGGCAATACAGGGTGAGAGCTAACCATGGCAGGGAAAAAACAGAAGGGACAGGGGACTAAATCAATATGGCAATTAATTTACTAAAAAAAATCAAGGCTGAGCCACATTTCTGAAGAATTCAATCACCCATATACCAAAATCACACTTCATCTTACAAGATACTTAGATGGCTGCTATTTTTAAAAAGTCTATTAGGTTATCATAATTAAGTGAAAAGAAACTACAAATTAATGGAAATTATTCATCTATTATTTATAACTTTAAAAACAATTTGATTTTACCTCAATGTCTTTGTCACTGATGAACCAGTTTACACCATCTTCTCCTACAAAACAAATAGAATGTTACTCAATCTCAACACCTTTAAAGCACATCTAGATTGACAATAAATTATTCAATTTGTTAGTGCTAAACCCAGAAGTCTAGTGAGAATTGTGAATACCTTAACCTGTTATCTTGGCTCCACTATTACTTGTGTGAGTCTGAACAAATACTAACCTCTCTTAATCTCAGTTTCCTTACCTGTGAAATTGGAATAACAGTACTTGCCCTGTCTACCTTAAAAAGTACTGTGGAGAATCAAGTGAGGCAAGTGAAAATGCACTGAAAACCATCAAAATATAAACAAATACAAAAAATAAATAAATAAATAAGCAAAGGGACCAAAAACCCAACAGCAGATGCAGAAAGAAATCTTATCTTAATTTTCCTTATGTAACTAAAGCAGAGCTTTATGAAAGTCAGCTGCCAGAGCCACAACCCCCTTGACCCCTCAACCCATCTCTATTCAGGGAGTGACTGGCCTTGGGTACCAGGTTATTACAAAAAAGTTGTATTAACAAGTATCATAAAAAACGTCCATCCTCCGGAGCCCGAAATCCTCTTTTGTTAAACTGGTATGTAAACCTTTATCTTTAGCTATTCAGTGAGTTACTCATTACTGGGTGCTTCCACGCATTGTCTTTTCCATGGCTAATATCTCTGTTGTCAGTATGTTCACAGGCTCCCCACCCAAGCAGAGGAAAGGTTCTTCCTTCCATTATCAGTATTAACTGTGTTCACTAGCTTCTTTCCCATTGTAGTTAACCTTCATTATAACATTAAAATACTTGGACTTTCAATACTATCTCACGATTAGAACTAGAAATTTAGCACTCAATTTTGTTACATTAAAAACAGTGAAATAAAAGAGAAAGGAGGCCAAATATTCAGAAACCATCAACTGATTTAAAAACACAACTGTAAAACCTAGACGGGTGGGAAGCCCTACATTTCTCTTTATCAGCTGTTTTCTTCCCTTTGCACTGTCCTTTGACAAACTTGCAGAGGGCTGCTATTCCTTTGGTCCACTCATGGCCAAGGAGGAAGGGATATATGACTAATGCAGAAGCCAAGGTGTCAACAAAGGACTACAAGATTTTTTTTTTCTCCCCTTGAAGTGAAATTAAGAATTTCTCCTTCCTCCTATCTATTACTCTTCTCTATCTCAAAAACACAAATCGAGCTTGACTCTTTTCTTTGAAAGGAATTTTGAGGAGACATGAAGTAATCTACATTTTCCCAGGCCTACCAGGACTAAGTGTCTAGAGATGTATTTTAAAATGAAATATTTTTTACTAAGAAAACCAAGAGGTTGCTTTACAAAAAGACTAATCTGTAGGAGAGCAGAGATGCTGTGCTGATGATTATTTCCTTTTCAAGCTGCATCCATACACTAAGAGTGGAGAATACATTAAGTAGCAGCAGCTCTTATTCCTTCATCATCACCATCCACAGTATTATTCTTTCATTCAAAGGATACATTTAAGGAGCATGCTTCACTGTAACTTTCAAAGCTGCCTTTTGTATCTCAACATCCATCATTAAAATTCAAGATCATCACTTAAAATCACTGTAATTATAAAACTGACTTAATATTGTTCTTAAAAAAATGAAATCCAAAACTAATGAAATGCAAAATAGCAACTGTTACCACAAACAACCTACCTCCACCCTCCCCAAATTTATACGTGAACAGAGAATAGTGAGAAAGGGGAGTTTAAGAGGGAGATATGACCCCATTTAGATTGTTTTAACATTCCTGTGGAATGTACAATATTCTAGGTTATGCACTAACTTCTCCTCAGCAAGCTATGGTATATTCTTACTACAGGAAATCTATCAGCAAGTACAGAAAATTGGTTTCAATTACAGATTAAATCAGTTGAGTGTCTGGATTTTGTTTTCCTACTTTTAAAAGTGTTAGACTTGGCTTTGACAAGCAGCTATGTAAGTTCCAGATCAGCTTGATCATTTTGAGACTTTTAAAGCTTTATTAACAGGGTAGGTCCAGAGTAGCCTTTACTCTTGGGCTAATTTAGCCATATTACTAAGATGTACCTTCTGGGGTCTCTATTCAATGTCCGGAGTATTCAACATTGTCCCTCCACTCTGGCTGTAAGAACTCAGGTAAACTTGGCCTCAGCAAACAGATTGTTGGTTTTTTGTCCAAGTCTAGTGGAGTTTCGTCCTATCCATGAGCAGATAGGAACTCCATATCCTTGTTGTCCATGGGTACCCTTACACAGATTTCTGGAGTTATTTTGCTCTGCAGTTCCCTCTTTCCAGTATTCAGTCCCATATTACAGCTTCCTTAGCCTTTCTGAACTTTAAATCTCTGTCTTCTATCTCAGTAAGACTGCCATGCTGTGCTTGGATTCCCTCTCTTGGCACCATGATGCAGAAAATGTCTAGACAGAAAGTTACGTTAATTCATTTGTTTCCATATTCTCATGAATCTTGGTCCAGTACTGTCTGTTGTCTATATTCCTGTTTCCCTTTAAATCTCTGCCTATTTACAATAGCTGTTTTAAAGTCCCTGTCTGCTAATTTCATCATCTCTTGTCAGGAAGGCAAGTCTGGTGTAAGTTAACACAATACAGCTGGAAGCAGAAGTCTCATACAGGATTTCAATAGGTGGAGATGACACTCGTAAAAAGGAAAGGCATAAACAACATAGTGGAAGAAGGGTGGAAGGACACAGCAAACAGCACAGTGTGGAGGGTGTGAGGTTTCCTTTACTAACAATTTCCACAGACCTTTTTATACATATAGAATATTGAATTCAAATGTTATTTTAAGAACCTTTTTACGTGAAACACATATATATGAAGACTTCAGTAATATTAAATCTATTCTTTCAACTAAGAAATTTTCCATGTCCTTTTCCAGTTTAAGTCTTGACCTCCTACTGTGTGAGCTCTCCAAGGAATAGTACAGCAGGCCTCTTTCTACCAGTAATAATGTTGATGGGGTTGAGATAGTACAACAGCAGTACAGGGTGCTCTGTTAACGCTATGCAACAACCAGAATATTTAGTCTCTTCTGAAATAACTTTCAAAACAAAAGAGGGAACTGAAGGAAAGGTAGCCCATATCCTTACACACATTTACACATTTCTCTCTTACTTACTCTTTATTACACACACACACACACACACACACAATCTTTCTCTCTGCATGGTAATAAACATCTTTCATATTTATATGATAATTCAGAGCCTATAAATTGTTTTAAATATATATTTTATCTTCAGAACAACCCTGTATGTTATGGTTACACAAATGTTCCCTTTTTTATATGTGTGCTTTTTACAAAAGATGGAAAGTGTTGCTTTCTGTGAAATGTAGTGCTAATATAGCTATTTACCCATAAGACTGCATTCAATTTTCAAAGAATCTGAGGAACAGTTTGGGCTAGAATTCTTAGCAGCAAAGCCAGTCTTAAGCTTTGCTTCAGTTATTTTTAGTCTGCCTATATTCCAGGTGGGTGGGAATAGCTAAAAATCATTGCTTTGCTGAAAGCAGCCAGAGGCAATTACCGAGTAGATTCTTTCTACCTTCTGGGATAATTTGACAGAAACTGGGAGTTAGTAAAATGTACTTCCAAAGATCACTACAGATTACAAGACTCTGTTCAGTATATCCAGTTTGTTATTTGCAGTACAGGTGCCATGCACAAAGAAGAATCTTTTCCTGAGCCTAATACCCAATAGCTCCTTGTAGGAAGCCATAGATGCCTTACATAGATTTCTGGATATCCTAATTTCTAACACCTGAAATTGTAAATCTCATTAAATTCCAGTGAAAAGGTATATAGATATGATTTTCTCGAGATACATGTACTTGAACTTATATCCAGCAAATTGCATACAAAAACTTACTTTGCCACTACTAATTATGTAAGAATGTAACTGCAACTTACCTCTAAATGAGTGTAAAATGTTTTCATTTAAAATAATGTCAGGTTAATTTTGGTAAGTATTTACTGAATATTTCTCTCATAAAAGACAGTGTAGGAGACAGAAAGATGACTAAGACATGGTTCTTGCTCTCTTATCACATAGTAGAATAGTACGTGCTATCTTTGGGCTAAAGAATCTAAAAAGCATTATTACTGTGTTAAATAACCATGGTAAGTTTACCTTTTAAAATAGAATGATTTGATTGATGTCAAGTTTTAAAGATACTGTTACTGAAGTCCACTGCTTTTTGGGAAAATGGGTTTTTAAGAAATACTGAATTTTAACACTGAGCAATTAACTTACAATAATGACTGCATGATCAAAACAGTCTTCCCCACAATACTATGTAAATCCTCCAGCAGCTGTTTTCTCCTCAAATAATCTATGAGTCTATAAAGAGTTCATAGTTGGGGACTGGAAAAAAAAAGAAACAATGGTTGGTATATACCTGCAATTGCTAAGGAATCAAGATTTGGGGCCCTCTCAATATCTACTCTTTCTCTTGCAGCAGACAGCCCAAAACCCTGACTCACATGAGATGGCATTCCTTTACTACTCTGAAACACAGTGAAATGGTCAAGAAAACAAAGATTAAAGTGGAGAAGGTTGTGAATAATTGTCCACTGGACAACCTAAGACTAAGTGATTTGGCAGTTATAGCATAAAAGACAAATTAAGAATATTACATTTCTAAATTTACTGCCTACACACCCTTTTTACACACCTAGTATTTTAAACTAAAAGGTCCTACTGTTTGTAACTTAACAGTGGCAGTCCTTTCCCATGTCTGCACTTTTGATCCTTTCATTCCCTTGATCCTAACACTGTCTTCCCCTTTGCCTAATTTTTCAACATATCCAGTCCAATGTCCATGATTACAAATTCTGAAGAGCCTTTAAGCCTCAGTTCCTCACAGCCAATGCATACAGATAATATTCAGTATTTTCTCACTTGAACTGTGTGCATTTACAATTCTCTTGGTTGATATGACAAAATACTTTGCTAGTGTTTGTCCTCCCTCCACGGTTTCCTCTTCCTTCACT